TAGATTTCAAGTTCTCACCTGATATTCCTCTTGTGTCTTCAAATAATCTGGTCTGGTCCAATCATCTCTTGTCAGGTTCAGACAGGAGTCCTCACTACTGCATCAGTCAGCAGCCACCTAACTATACAGACATCAGAAGTCACACACTTATCTAAAACAATACCAAGTAAATGGTAGGTAAAATCAAGAATTGATATTTTTCTCACCTGATATTCCTCTTGAGTCTTCAAATCATCTGGTCTGGTCCAATCTGTCTTGTCAGGTTCAGACAGGAGTCCCCACTACTGCATCAGTCAGCAGCTACCTAACTATACAGACATTAGACGTCACACACTTGTCTCAAATAACACCAAATAGTTGGTAAAATGCGGAATTCAGATTTTTCTCACCTGCCCCAATACTCATATGTGTATCTGAACACCTGCACAGGTTGCTGACCCTCAGAGCACAGTTCACTACAGGATTCTATGAAAAGAAGAAATAGTGTATTGTCAGCTAAGGCTAGAAAGTGTCATATAAAAACACTTCTAATTTCAACAGATCGAAAAATCAACACTAGGTCATCTAGACAGAGAAAATGACAATGAACACACTTTATAAGTAAGGTATTTATATAAAACACATGGGCCTATCCCTATACTGTTTATGAGAATCATTTATAATAAAAGTTAGAGTAATTTTGAGGTGAAGTTATTGTGGATATATAATATTATGAAATCTGGAACTACATTTTGGGGGTAGGAAGGGTATTTTCAAAGGAAAATGACACAGTAAGGAAACAAGAACCAGAACTATTGAGGTCGTGTGGCATAATGACAGATCAGATAGAGCATTTGGCTCAGAACCAAGAGGTCCCGGGTTCGAATCCTACCAAGTGACCAACTTTGGGAAAGGCACTTAACATAACTTTTCTCACTTCACTCAGGTGAAAATGAGTATGATCAGATGATCATGATCGTGGGCATTAAAAAAAAACAACTAAATTACAAGTAATACTATGCATTTGAGAGACAACATACAGCTATATCTACTCATTTTGTTCTTCTACCGCTACATTTCATGTATCTTTACTATTGAATATTGAAACAGGTAGATATTACAATATAGCCCTTGACCAAAATTCTGTCCATTTTGTCCAAAGCATATAGAAAATGAATTTCACTAAATGTTAGGGAATGTACCAAATATGATGTTATACGTAACAAGCTATTTACATTTCTCGAATCAAGTACCATAGATTTCAAGAGTCTCGATGTTGGAGACAGATTTGAATATATCTTTACATGTAATGGTCCCCACAACGCAAAAATACGTAGATATATAAAGGAATGCTTTGCTATTTAAAAAAATACAGAAACTTGTGATTAGCCTACTCGATTGTAACACTTTAGCAAAGACTTGTGCTATCCCTTATTATTTGAATAATTATGATATAGATATGTTAGGTTTTATTTGACATTAAGTCTTATTCAACACACTTATTTTCTTGTTGTTACTCTCTTTATGTAGTTTGCCATACATTGTACCATGTGCAATAAAGTTCTTCTATATTATGCTCTCAACGCTAGCAATACAAATTCACGCAGTGTCGCACACCTTAAATTTCTTTATTTCAAAACAAAGACCTCGACAAAAACTGTACCAAATGACCATAAAGACAAGGATAGGAACAATAAATCAAATCCAACCCCTTGAACTGAAACTTTTATGTAGAATACACAGGGCTCAAAATTCATTTTTGGGAATGGTGCACCCAACCTAAAAAACTGGGTGTGCACAAAAAATGTTTGGGTGCACCATATAAGATAAATAGGATGTCAGCAAAAACTAATTTTGTTTTTTTTTCTAAAGAAAAGCAATGCAAGAATGATTTTATTAGGCCTAGGAAAAAAAATGTTGTGTTTCCGGTTACCCGACCGACCCTATGAAAAACCCCCCGACCCTAGCCTTTTTTGGGC